CCCAAACAGGTTGTTGTAGGGGCCTGAGCTCTAGGGGGTCTGCAGGTGGTGGGATGAACTTGGGCCTACCCTGGGCCCTGGCTTAGGTGCAGGTCAGCCAAGCAGTGCCTAACTGGAAAAATTTTAAAGGAGGAAATGTTTATTTAGGGACTTATGGTTTCAGAGGTTTCCATCCATAGACAGCAGGCTCCATTCCTGGAGACCCGAGTTGAGGCAGAAGGGTGGCGGAAGAGTGTGGCACAGGAAAGCAGCGCACATGGTGATCAGGAAGTAGAGATAGATTCCACTTGCCAGATACAAATATATACCCCAAAGCCATGCCCCCAAATCCCACCTCCTCCAGCCACACCCTACCACTTCACTTACCACTCAGTTAATCCCTACCAGGGGATTAATTTACTGATTATTATTCATCTGTCCTCTGAGCCTTCTTGCATTGTCTCACATGTGAGCTTTTGGGGGGACACCTCACATCCAAACCATAATGCAGTCCTTGTTTGAATGGACTGACTGGGTGTTAACTGCAGGTAGATGGGGTGTGGCAGGAGGAGGTGTCATGGGGGCTCTCCTTGCAGTCCCTTGCCCCTCTCTGCTTCCTGGCTGCCATGAATGGAGCAGCACTCTTTTGCTGTGCCTTTCCATCATCATGTTCTGCTTCATCTCAGGGCCAGAGCAATGGGCTCAGCCAACCATGGACTGAACCTCTGGAACCGTGAGTCCAAATAAACTTTCCCTCCTATCCAGCTGGGTGTGGTGGCACATGCCCGTAATCCCAGCAGCTCTGGAAACTGAGGCAGAAGGATTGAAAGTTCAAGGCCAGCCTCAATAATTTAGTGAGGCCCTAGGCAATTTAGTGAGATTCTGTCTCTAAATTTAAAAAATGAGGTCCCGGAGATGTGGCTGGGGGGTAGGGTGTGGCTCAGTAGTTAAGCCACCCTGGGTTCAATCCCTGGCACCAAAAACAAAACAAAACAAACAAACAACAAAAAAAAAAACAATTTCCTCCTCTAAGTTGTTCTTGTCAAATATTTTGGTCACAGCAATAAAAAGCTAACACATAACTCAGTATTTTTTCATTTTGGTAACTGCTTATGGACTTCCTCGCCATTGCTGAGTCTGGCTTTGAACTCGTGATCCTCCTGTCTCAACCTCCAGAGCCTTTGGGATTACAAGTGTGCGCCACCACACCTGGCAGTTTTTTTCATTCTTAATGCCATATGATGTAGAGGTGCCTCTTACCATTATGTACAATATATTAATAATCATTTGATTAAATAAAATATATTAACATTTTCATTTTACAGATTAAGAAATCAAGGCACACAGAGGTTGATTAACTTGGCCAAATCAAAACAATCAAAAAGTTGTGACGTGGCATTACAGATTGGATCCTTCAGAAGCATCTGCAGAAAGAGAATTTGGGATGCAGGATGCTTATTAGGGATGAGCACCCATAAAAGGAGGACACCAAAAGTAGAACGAGGCAGAGGAAGAAGTCAAATATGATGCAGACCTGACAGCGCCTTGATGAACTTGGCCAGGAGCTCTAGAGCTTATCATAGTGTCCCGCACAGAGTGGAAATGGCCTGGCCTTCATCTCTAGCACAGGACACACAGGGACAGTGTAATCTCAGGTGAAGCATCTCTTCTGTAGCTGAGCAGACAGAGTGCACTGACAGCTAGATGCTGCCTTCTGTTTGCTTTCCAGCAGTTGGGTATCCAGTCCTTCTCACAAGAACACATGAGCAAGATACAAACTCAGGCGGCCTTATTCTAGACCAGCATTCCTGACTGCTAGGATGTCCTGCCTTTTTTTTTTTTTTTTTTTTTTGGTGGGGTGGTGGGGGGGGGGGATTACCGGAGATTGAACTCAGGGGTACTGGGCCACTGAGCCACATCCCAGACCTAATTTGTATTTTATTTAGAGACAGGGTCTCACCGAGTTGCTTAGTCTCTTGATGTTGCTGAGGCTGGCTTTGAAATCATGATCATCCTGCCTCAGCCTCCTGATCCCCTGGGATTACAGGCCACCGTGCCTGGCTGATGTCTTGCCTCTCTGTCAGATGCATTGGGATCAGACTGTGGCAGTCCTGGAATACCAGGTGAGAACTCAGTCACCAATCCAGTCTCCTTTCCTCTGTACCGTCATTTTCAATGTAGCACAACCATAAACCAGGCCAGTGTTTCCAACTATTATTGACGTTTGCAGGGATCCAATTATTCTACAAATTTGAAATTTCATTTTGATAATAATATAAACAATTATAACTCAGGATTATCATCATACTCAACTTTCTAAGTATGTAGTCTCACCATTGGCATCTGTGTTGACAACTGCATGGCAACAAATCAAAGACTGACCTCCAAGTAAAGCTCAAATGATTGCAGGGTTACCTGTAGCCTAAAGAAAAGTGGGGTCCAGCTGAGCCTCTACACAGCTCATACCAGGGTAGGTGTGAACCACACATAGAACTTATGCCTCAGAACTATGTTGCATTCACAATGAGAGAGGGGAGAGGAGATGCGTCATACTCAGACTTTCAGTTCTTTAGCCCTAGATATGATTGTATCTGTTATGGTTTAGATATGAGGTGTCCCCCAAAATCTCATGTGTGACACAATGCAAGAAGGTTTAGAGGTGAAGTGACTGATTTATGAGAGCCTTAACATAATCAGTGGGTGAATTTCATTATAGGAATTAACTGGGTGGTAACTGTAGGCAGATAGGGGGTGGCTGGGTGAGGTGGGTCCCTGGGAGTGTGCTTTTGGGGTTTATATTTTGTCCTTGTTGAATAGAGTGCTCTTGGGCTGGGGATATAGCTCAGTTGGTAGAGTGCTTGCCTAGCATACACAAGGCCCCGGGTTCTAATCCCCAGCACCATATTAAAAAATATATATATCTGAACAGAGTGCTCTCTCTCTCTCTCCCCCCTCCTCCCCCTTCTTCTCCTTCTCTCTCCTTTATGCAATGCCTGAGTCTCTTTCCTCCACCACATTCTTCCACCATGATGTTCTGCCTCACCTTGAGCCCTGAGGAATGGAGCCAGCCTTCTATGGACTGAGACCTCCGAAACCATGAGCCCTCGAATAAACTTTTCCTCCTCTAATTTTTCCTTTCAGGTCTTTTGGTTGCAGCAGTGAAAAAGCTGACTAGAACAGGAATTATTCAATAAAAACATTTTCATTAAAATAAACTTATTTTGGTATTTTATTTTAGGGAGTGTTATGGTTTGGATACAAGGAGTCCCCCCAAAAAAGCTCATGTTAGGCAATGAAGGAATGTTCAGAGGTGAAATGATTAGCTTCTGAGAGTTGTAACTGCATTGTGGATTAATCCACTTGGTGAATTAATAATTTGAATGGATTCCTGGGTGGTACCTATAGGCAGGAGGGGTATGGCTGGAGGAACTGTGTCACTAGGGCATACCCCTGGGTATTATGTATCTTGTCCATGGCTCCTCACTGTGCTTCTCTTCTGCCATGTGGCGCTGCCTCACTTCAGACCCAGAGCCATGGAGTCAGCTGACCATGGACTGAGACCTCTGAACCCTGAGCTCATAATAAACTTTCCTTCTTCTAAGTTGTTCTTGTCAGGTATCTCAGTCACAGCAATGAAAAGCTAATACAGGGAGAGTTTTAATTAATAACGGACTCATTCATAAATCATGGATGGATGATTCAAGATGAATCTATAGTTTAAAAGGAAAAACCATGACAAGGAGAAAGAGGGATCACTCAAATGAGTGTTTATTGTGTTCAAACTAAAAAATAAATCATCAACAAGTGAAATACAAAAATGTCCAAAAGTGCTTTTCTACTTTTAGGACAAAGCTTTGTGATTTTGTTTCATCAAAATGACATTAAATTGATACTATATTACTTTGTAGTTTTAATGTGTGTATTTTTTTCCTTTTTATTGGCACATTATAATTATACATAACAGTGGAATTTATTATAATATATTCATATGTGCACACAATAAAACAACATAACTTCATCAATTTCTTTTTTATTGTTTTAATCAGTTATACACGACAGTAGAATGCATTTATGCACTTTGATATATCATACATAGATGGGATATAATTCCTCATTTTTCTGAGTGTACATGTTAAAGAAATTAAAAAAAATAAATAAATAGAAGGGAGACCAGAAGAATAGAACAAGGGGATCAGGGGCAGGAAGGGAAGGGAAAGGGGAGGTACCTTTTTTTTAAATTTGTTCTAATTAGTTATACATGACAGTAGAATACATTTTGACACATTGTACCCAAAGGTAGCACAACTTCTCATTCCTCTGGCAGTACAAGGTGCTGAGTCACACCAGTAGTGTAATCATACATGTATACAGGGTAATAATGTCTGTCTCATTCTACCGTCCTCCCCATCCCCACAGCCTTCCTCCCCTCTCCCATCTGCACCATCCAAAATTCCTTCATTCTTCCCTATCCCCCCACTATGGATCAGCATTCACTTATCAAAGAAAACATTTGGCCTTTTAAAATTTTTTTTGCATTGGCTTATTTCACTTAGTATAATGGGTGTGTGTGTTTTGGATCTTATGGTTTTTTAAAGGATCTGTAGCCATAGGGAATTTATAAAATATTTACATTTAAGTGACATTGTATTTACATTATATTAAAACAACATTATTGTAGAAATGATTCAACAACACTTGGTGCCATAGACATATATATATATATATATATATTTTTTTTTTTTTTTCTTTGAAGAAGTTCCTGCTCATCCATTAAGTCAGAGAGATGCTGTACCAGGTTCATGGAAGAAATAAGGAATGAATAAATTATTTGCAGCACCCACTTTTGCAGCGTAATCAATTATGCATTCTGATTTGCATGGGGGAGGACTTTTGTTTTGTAAATGTTCCTTTGCAACTAGGGATGCAGAGTTGTAGCAAAAGTTCCTGTTTCATAATTTATCTTTGTCCATCACCCACTTGAGAACAGCGGGTTTCAAGCAATCTCACCAGGACACTCCGCTTTCAACAAGCAGCCCTAGTGATATAAGGCCAGGCAGCCCCTTCCACAGATTTCTTCCTCACCCTTGGGCACTGGAGTAAGGAAAGGAGACAGGGGACAAAGGGGAACGAACGCCTATCTGCTTCTTAAGTTCTCCTCCACAAGATCATCACCCCAGGCAGATATCATCAAGGGAAGACTCTCCGGGTTACAACTGTGAGTTCACTGCTCAGACACCTGTTTCATTATGTCACTTTTAATCACTTCCTCATTTGAAATGCTTTTGTTTTTTGTGGTGCCAATACCATACTCTTAAATTTTCTTTAGGATCACAGAAGTAATGCTCACAGGCTGTGGTCCATGGACTCACAGAAATGATAAACCATCGGAGGAGAAAGAATTGGTCCATCTGAGTAGTGTGTGAAAGGGAGAAAGACAAATAAAGAGATGGAGCTGCCGCAAGGAGATGAGATGGAAGAAGGGGAAGAAAAAGAGAGGAAAACCAGGTCTCCGCCTCAGGGTAAGGCTTTTTGGTGCAGAGTGTATCCTTTCTCAATGGGTGCCGTGAGTTCAACTAAATGAACAAAATGATATAAAAACATTTACCCTACCTGTGAAAAGGACACCTCTTGAGAGCTAACTTAATTATTCCTATGCAAAGCCAGTATCTAGAGTCTGAAGACCGAAATAGTTTTTACAAAACGCATGACTTCTTTGTTACAGTTTGTGTATGCTTTTCTGTTTCACTTTTTATCAGTTCCGCAGGAGAGGACAATGATGCAAAAAGTTTACCAGAAATGACTATTGAGTAACAGTCTTATCTTAAAATATGCTAGCAACTTGTTATGTAAAGTCATAATTGCAGAAAAATTGGTTTCAATGAAGAATTATTTAGCAGATTGATTATACTATCTCTGGACTAGATTTTTTTTTTTTTGACCCATTTTCTGTCACAGAGGATTGGTCTGTTTGAATGCATGGAGCAGCCAGCATGGATTCAACATCAGGTCTCTTAAAACAAGTATGCAAATATTTGGGAGGAGAGTTTTCAATTACTTGAAATTTAGGTTCAAATAAAAAAAGTCCAGAGTGTCATTGCAGGGATTTGTATGCAAGGATGAAATTTAATGGATACCAAAAATAAAACAATTTCCACTTTTCATTTTCTAGCCCTCTTTTGTGTACCATGCATGGAAAAGTAAATGAGCTTCCTATAAACAACAAGAAATTTGCTTAACTGTGAGAGTTATATAGAAATATCTCATGGAAATATGTTGTATCCTTCTCTGTTTTAAAATAACTTTTCCCAGTCTATCTAGTGTTCCACAATGTTCTTTGAGAGCAGATAACAAGATAAAAGTAATTTGCATTGAAAAGTCCTTGGTTTTGGTTCTTCTGTAAATCTTTGGTGGTGTTCTTGGATTCTTTATTAATGGTTAAAAACACGGACTTTTGTGTCAGACCCTGGATTTAAATCTAGTATGTCTATTTGCCTGAATGGTGGACAGGTGTCCCTAAGGCTCCAGTTACTCCTCTGTCAAATGGGGTTGAGTTTTGTGCTCCTCCTAAATTTGTAGAGAGTTAAATAAGATGTTATATGAAAATGTGAATGCAGTGTTTGGTACATTGTAAGGGAACAACAAGTATTGCTTAGCTTTAACATTGGCATTAGCATTCTGAGTTTTATTTTTTTTAGTAATCTGGCATTTGCTAATAATACATTCACATTTAAATTTTGCGCTTCAAATTTTAGAATCTGCATTCTCTGGTAAGGCTATATATAATAATGATGGTTCATTTGCAGTACTGACGATTTTGCAGATTTCAATACATATCTATGAGCACTTTAAAGCTTATTAGATATTTAAATACTTAAAACCTTAACAACCTTCTTCACAATTCTCATTTTTGTATTGCCATAAATTACATTATGTGTAGAGAAGTTCTATACAAAAGGAATTTGTCTGTGGATATTTTTCTGAGCCTGAGTGGACTAGAGAAAATTTTATATAAATCTTATATGGCACACAATATGGTTGCTTCATAAAGATAACCAGTGGATTGAAATAAGAATATGATAATATTATCAAGGAACACTTTTGTAAGGACCACAGTTAGAAAACTTTCAGAGATGGGCTTTAGAGACTATATAATCTTGCTACTAATTAAGGATATTGCTTCTGTTAGGGTCCCAAAGGGAAATGATGGCACATTCTAATTTGGATAATTGAAGCATGGTTTATAAATAAGGGGACTATTATAAAATCAGGGATAAGGCTTATAGTGGAACACTGGGAAAGGATATCTAGAACCAGGAGGAGGAGAGTCATGCACAGCAGACCAGCTCAGAGAAGCCCTGACCTTCCATGGAAGGGCACAGGCAGTCCTTCTGTTTGAAATTGATTCCCTGAGCTCATACCCTGTCTCGGTTCTCCTGCCAGAGTTCTCTACTGGCCAAACCCAACAGAAGCCATGGGGCACACGTACCCATTAGAATAACCCATTCAGATCAGCATCCCAGGGCCAAAAGCCGGGTGGAGGCAGGGACAAGATGGATTTAGAGGAGCAAGCAGAAGATGTCACTCATACGCCAGCATTTTATAGAAATACAGGATTTATTTTCCCCTTATATTCAGCATTGGCAAGTGTTTATAAACATGCACTATATAAGATCTTCATAGAAATTTAGTTTTAAGGTGTTTTTGTTTTTGTTTTTACCAGAGAGGAAAGAACAATGGGGAGAGGGAACTAGGAATTTAAAGTCTACATTCTATAAAAGACTATTTTCTATAGGAGAGCGAGAGAGATAGTTGTACGTCTCATTAGTTCTGAGTATGTCCCTCTAAAAAGCCATTCAGGGCCCTAAGCTCTCTTTCACATGTGACTATGGTAAGATACAGAGCAGATCTACAACTTTTTCAACAAATTGTATTGACAGTCCCCAATGTCTGGGCATTGTGCGAGGCTTTGAGAAAAAAGTAGTAAATAAAACAGACACAATCCCTGCCCTTTTGAAGTTTATAGTCTAGTAGGTAAAGGAGGCAAATGATGTAGCAAAAGACTTAAATAGTTTCATAGATTGGATTCTCAAGTGCTACAGAACACGGGACCACCAAGTGTGGAAGTATAATATTTACACATGAAAATTAGAACTGCAGAGCAGCCAGCAATGTACAAAGGGTTTTTAAGCAGTGCATTTCCTCCCTCCCAAAAGAAACATCTTCAACTCAAATTTTAAGTAAGCCAGTTCTGGAAAAATATATCCAAATGTGGTTTGTGAGACAAGACAGTATGGCTACAAGGATCTAGAAAACTCTCCAATAAAGTAGCCAAAGAACTGTCCACATTAAAAGAATTGTTCTATTCTGCACTACCTAAAATAGTAGCCACTCATGGTGGGGACTATGAAGCACTTGAAATGCTGCTAATGAGACTGGGGAACTGAATTTTAAACTTTGTTTAAGTTTAATTAAATTTAATTAGCCACATGTGGGTATGCTAAGATACAGTGCAGATCTAGAACAAGATATGTTAGCTGGGGCTTGCTGAGCACAGCTGCTTCATTTAACCTCCTTTCCTTTCAGACAGGGTTGATAACCATTTCTCCCCCCCCCCACCCCCACACACGCATAACATCATGTGCTGTGCAGGGTATCAAATAGGGAGAAATCAAAGACAGGCTAATAAAATAACAAGTGTTAGGAGGTAGAGAAATTGAAACTCTTGCACCTTGCTGGTATGAATGGAAAATGGTGCTTCTGTTGTCAAAAATGGTAAGATGCTTCTGCAAAAAATTAAACATAGAATTACTGTATGACCCAGCACTTCCACTTCTGTGTACGTACTCAAGAGAAATGAAGGCAGGGATTCAAAGAGATATTTGTATCATGTTCTTAGCAGCATTATTCACAATAGCTAACAGATGGAAGCAACCAAGTGTCCACTGATGATGAATGCATAAACAATATACATGTATCATATATATTTATATTTATATATGATATATATTTATATATGATATATGTATTATATAGCATATATTTATATGTACAAAAATATATATACATACCATAAAAATCAGATTATACATACACAAACACACACAGACAATGGAATATTTATTAAGGCTTAAAAAGGAAACAAATTCTGATGCTTTCTATGATGTGGATGAACATTAAAGACTTTATGCTAAACGAAGTAGACCAATCACAAAAAGATACATATATGATTCCACTTATATGAGGTACTGAAAGTAGTTAAATTCATAGAGCCAAAGTAAAATGGTGGTTGTGAAAGGTTGGTGGGGAGAATATGGAGTTGGTATTTAATGGGTACAGAGTTTCAGTTGGGGAGCATGAAAAAGCTCTGGAGATGTACAGTGGCAGTTACCTGACAATGTGAATGGATTTGATGCTGTAGAATTGTACATCATAAATGGTTACAATGGTGAAATTTATTTTATATATATATCAGAATAAAAGAGGAGAGGTTAAACACATTCTCTAGCATGGAACAAAAGAAATGGTAGTTGATGATTACTACATGGTATGGGGAAGTGGGATTACCACTTGGCTGAAGGTTGTGACAGTGTCACATGCAGTTCAGATGGGTGGTTGCGTTAAATGACCTCCCACTCCTGAGATCTGATGGCTTTACAAACCCTGAAAATTTGGAATGCCAGTGGTGTCCATGATGACAAGTTTTCATATGGCACCATGTCCCTTTCCAAGTGCTGGCCTTACGGAACTATCTATAGTCCTCATGAGTTCCCATTTCTTAAAACAAAAACCAAAACAACAATAAGACCAAGAACCAAACTGGAGGTGAGAGCCAACTTTTCAACAAAATTTATAAAAAAGAAGACAAGCTGAGGGTGGAGCTCAGTGGTGAAGCACTTGCTTAGCATGCACAAGGCCATGGGTTCTATGCCATCTCTGCAAAATCAAATGCAGAAAAAATCCAAGAAAAAAATCCAAGAAGACCAACCAGGGATTTTGGTAGCAAACTGCCTTACTGACAACTTCAAACTAAGAGTATCAGAAATAGAACTCTTAATTCCCAACAATCCTCTCCTTGCCACCTCCCACCACCCCATTACCTACATCTCTGGCGGTCTTCCCCATCTCAACATAAGGGCCTCTTTTCTTCTAGCTGCCCTGAGTAAAAACTTAACTCTTCAACTCTTCTTTATCAATCCTACATTTCATTGATCATCAAGTCCTTGCAGAACCTGACCACTTCTCAGCTCCACTATTTCGGCTTCATATTAGTCAGCACTTTCTACAAAAACAATCAAGAGATTAGCTAGCTAGTTAATGCATATACAAATGTATTTATGAGGAATTGGCTTAGTTATGGAGGCCAAGAAGTCTCAAGACAGCATTCAGCAAGCTGGAGACCCAGAATAGGAGTTGATAGCGGAGTTCCAATCTGAGCCCACAGGCCTGAGAAGCAAGAGAGCCAATGGTATAAGTTTCAGTCTGAGTCCAAGTCCAAGGTGAGAGAAGACTGACATCTCAT